ACGGAACAAGAAGGCTGGCCAACTACAGGACAGGAAGGAGGGAGGTCGCATGAGACCGGCCCTGGTACCTGGAGGGGCAGCGGGGAATAGTAGTTCCGAAAGTATCACGTGACGGACTCGCAGGATGATGAGAAGAGTCCTAAGAGTCCAGGACTCCGAGGACTCGAGTGAGTTCCCAGGAGTCCACTAGGCACGTGATGGACTCGCAGGATGATGAGAAGAGTCCTAAGAGTCCAGGACTCCGAGGACTCGAGTGAGTTCCCAAGAGTCCACTAGGCACGACGCCACTATATAAGTAGATAGTATTTCCTTAGATAGGAGCTTCGTGCTCAACTCAATACAGTATTTGTTATATACTAGTAACGTGTTACTTGAAGCCTTTGTGTCTGATCCCCTGCCTCCTCTGATAAGTAAACCTTTACGCAAGAGAACCTCTGTGTCTTCTATCGTTTAGAAGTCAGCGTTACATCGAGTAGTATTCAGAAGCGGCTGAAAAGCTTCTTCCCAATTATCACATCTTGTGCTCCGAGGTCCAGGAGTACAAAGGGGCAGTTATATATTCAGCGTCCTTCGACTGTTAAGTGTAACCGAATATACTCCGATATGTGGCCTTGGATTTTGCGCTGAAATCCACGTATGGGTACAGAGTAGGGTAGTTTCCATATAGGGCTCTGAAGTGCTTTCGACAGTCGTATTGCAAAAGGCTTGTTAATGACGAGGTAGCCGTTTGCTCCTGTGTCTGCTAGGGACTTAGTTTGCACCCCGAGTCCATTCATACTCAGGGTCGTGTCGACTAAGAACTGGGTGCCTCCCAGGAGTTCTCGTAAGTCTAGTCCTCGCAGGTCACATTTGCGTAGACCTAGGAAGGAGCCTTCTCCTAGGCCTCGTCATTTTCCTCGAGGGATGCATCCGATTGAAGTTCCACAGCTTCTTCCCATTGTTCTTCTGCCTCGGGGTCATTACGGTCCATTTCCTTGATAGTGGCGTTAAGGGGGCATTTGTCCTGGAAATGGCCAGGCTTGCCACACTTGAAACAGTTTCCTGAGGGCGCAGGGACTGCGGTTCTCAGACGTTCCGGTATGGCTGGCTTGGGGAGGAACGCGGTTCGGGGTGAACAGAGCGGATGTGGCTTGAGTCGGCTTCGACGCTGATGACGCCTTTGCCGTATCCGTGGTACGTGTGGACATCCTTGCGAGAGCGGGTAGAGGATTCAATTCGTTGTTCCGGCGCCGTTCCTGGTCGAAAGCGGTAAGTTCTCGTACCATGGTCTGGTATTCTCCCTTCCATTGGATTTTGATGATCGCGACGCAGCTGCGGAATTGAGGAGTCAACTTGTTCCACATGTACCGAAACCATTCCGACTCGGAGACTTGTCCTGTGAGCTGCACTTTGGAAACGAGCCTTGAACTCTGGGAAGGTTTCACTAGCATGCCCTTTCTCTCCCATTTGCAGGTCGTCGAAGAGGTTCCTGGCCTGTTCCGTCTCATTGCCTGTGAGGTAGTATGAACCTAGTAGATCCATCATCTCCTCAGTACTGCGGAACCCATGCGTAGCGGACAGGTATTGGGGCTCTAGGTAGGTCTTCGCCAGGCCGGTCGTAGTTCCCCATATCAACGCTCTTCTCGAGACGTCGGTAAGGTAGTGGTCCTCATTGACTACGAGTCGATCCCGAATCGAAGCGTTCCATTGTAAGAAGGTATGTTCTACCCCATCGCTGAGAGGAAGGATTTTCTCAGAGATGGTTGATTTCTTATAGCGATTCGGAGGGTCCTCGGTGTGCATTCGTGATGACCCTGGAATCGAGGGAGAACGAGTGTTCTGAAGAGGCGGCAATTGAACTGTCTCGGGGGTGTTTCGTGTACGAGGCGTTCGTTGCTCCGTAACTTCTACTGTGGGTATGGGGGCGTCCACCGGCGGTGTGGACGGGATTCTGGTCTGGGATGCCGACAGGATAACTAGTAGATCCTTGACCTCCTGTATCTGTGCTTCGAGGTGGGCCATTCGACTCGGGATGTCTTCGGATGGCACAGACGTCGTAGCTGCAGCGGTGGTTTGTCTGGTAGTCATTCTGGGCAGTTGACCGTCATTGTCTTGGGGTATGTTTGATGTCGGCTTTTTCGACATATTGCCTCGGGTGTGTATCGGTACCGATACGAAAGAGCTTGACTTCCGGTAGCTCGTAGCTATCAACGCTCTTGTCCACAATTTCCTCTGTGCTATGAGGGGGTTCTTAAGGATCTCGTATCCTATTTGGCGCCAACGCGTCGGCGACTTTACCAGCTTGTTCTGAAGAATCAAACCCTGATCCACTGGCTGTCCGTGAGATCTCTGGAATCATGGCTATTTGAAGTCGTCAGGTCTCTCCTCCGAAACATCACCGAGTCACAGTCGATGGTGTAACGGTAGTTCTCCTGAGTCGTTCCGGTGTGGGATATTATTTAAGTACGGCCGTCCCGGCAGGCGTGATCTTTTTTGTATAATGTAATGACACAGGGCACCCAGCTCACAGTAATAGCATATGAGAGTGCGAGTCGGAGGCTAAACGGATGCTATCCTATAGGTCTACTATGAAGGATACAAAAAAGATGAAGAGAGGAACCCCCGTTGAGTCAATTTCCTTAAGTACCCGAAACGGGTCCGACTCGGATAACCTACCCTAATGCTCCCCACGTGACCGTAACCTGCCCGACTCCGATGCTTTCCATCACTGAGGGCTTTGGCATCCTTACAGACGTGTAATGAATCATAGAGGGTTGTAGCAATTGTTGAGTAGTATTGCTCTTGTTGTTGGTGTGACAAGCCAAAATATGTATAGTGACTTGTAGGTTTGAGGAGGAGATTTCTAAGTTTGCTCTTGAGTTTGATAGCAAACTGAGTGCAACGAATGTCAGTATGACATTGGAGAAGGTTGTGAATTTCAGTATTCCCTGCCTTTTTAACAGTTTGGTGCCATATATATGCAATAGAGTCAGCTGAGATTTCAAGCTTCTTTTCAATCTCTCCATATGATGCGTTCATGTATACACGCAAGGTAATAATTGCAGCACGTAGTGGTATTGAGATTTCAGCCATTGTTGAGCATTACAGTCAAACCCCTGTTATAACGATGTATTCTGTCCACCATTTCACTATCGTTATAACCAGTATATCGCTGTAACCAAAATATAATATATTATGTAATCCATGTATCTAATGTCCCCTGAACTAATGATGCCTGCTGAATACCCTCAATTGCTGATTCCAACCACTCAAGTGTCCGTAAATAATCAGAAGAAAGAGATTCTTGGCTTTCAGCAAATCCAATCAATATATGAAGAGCTTGTTTAGCATCAGCCATTGAGTACATAGGCTGTGGAAGCTGATCATCATCTTCTTCATCACTTTGAGTAGTCGGTAAACCTAAATGCTCTTGTAGCACTTCTTGTAAAACCTCATCTTCTCCTACATTCTGCTCATCCTCTCCATTGTCATCTTCGTCAACAGGGTTAAGAAAATTTGCAACTGACATAACGTCTTGTATATTTCCTGCTTCCATAACCTTTTGATATAGCTCTGTAACTCCATGAGGCATAATTGGAGTAGGAAGTGAAATAGGTGAAGAGACAAGTGTTGATTTGCGAAAGCAATTGTAGATTGTAGTATTTGTAATTTCGTTATTCCAGCTTCGTAAGATCCAACGGATTGCAAGGTGTAGATTCATTGACGACAGAGGATCTACATTTGAGTCGAAGGATTGAAGATATATTGTAGCCAATGTCACCGGTAGTAAGCTTTGCAATTCTGAATAATCCCTTGATCAAGAGGCTGGTAGCGACTTGTACTATTAGCAGGTAGCCAACATATTCGAATATTTGATGGAGGAGGACAAAGCTCAATTGCAGTATAATGGGCAGAGAAGTTGTCCATTGTAAGAAGAACTTGTCGTGTTGTGCAATATGCTGATAAAAAGCTTGAAGCACTCTGTCATAATCGTTGTATTCATCCAAGCTTTCTTATTCCACCGCCATTGCCCCCATTGTATGAACTGATACAAATCGCAAAGCGCGTGGTGTTTTAGCTTTGCCAATGAACCAGACTGGAAATCGATCTGTGCCAGTTGCATTGACAAAAGACAAGAGAGATCCGATGTTTGTGATGAGAGGCCTCGAGAGAGCATCATCCTCCAATAAAGGCCACTCTCGTCCATGTTGTAGATATCCTCCTCTTGATATTCCCCTGCCACAGTTTGTAAGGCTCTCATTTCCTCTTCTGTAGAAGCTGGGATAGATAAGGCTTCTCCGTGTCGAACTTTTAATGATATCTTAAAGCGCTTCTTAAATCCCTCAAGCCATCCAATGCTGAACTCTGGGACTGGCTTGCCAGAGTGCTGTGGAAACTGGCGCCAGATATCTTGCCTTTGTTTGCAGAAGCTCTCCAGTTGTAAATCCCCCTCTTGCTTCAATACGCTGCTGCCATGCAAACAGAACCTTCTCTAAGTCAGCCAGAAGCCTTCTTGAAGTCGCACGCCTTGTGTGTATTATTCTCGTCGAGGTGGGAGAAGCGTAGACTTAAGGATTCAGAAACAGTTGACTGGCTAAGTTTGTGATTGTATTCGTGGAGGAACCATTCGATGCATTGCTTCTGTGTAGGCTTTGGGTGCTGTCGATGTGCCCAGCGACGAAGGGCGCGCCTTTGTTCTAATGTAATACTGTGCCTCTGGCTCATGATCCTGAGAATACGTCAGACTGGATATAACGATAATCGGATGGAACTGTAACGATTATCGTAGTATCGTAAGTTGTGTGGAAATAGAATTGGTTCCGAAAAATATATCGCTATATCAAAAATATCCTTGTATCCAGGATCGTTATAACAGGGGTTTGACTGTACTACATTTTCTACGCGTGTACTCGGGTACAAGTACATGGTGCTTGGTAGATTCCTACATTGGCCGTTGTGCACCGTGGGAAACACAAAAAGTTATTGGAAATGTTAATAATAGAGTTTAGAGTATATACCATCGGAATTAATATGTAAACTTACAATTTTGCCCTGTATAATCGAAATTTACCAACTCCTCTGTCCAATCCGCTAGCGGCCACCGTACTAGCAGCTCTCCAAACCTGTCACTTTCGTGGGGTCGCCTATCTGGACAACTCATCCCACTCCCGCCACACCACAGCAGGAGCAAGTCATTCCTCCCTCGCGACCTCGATTCGCCGACATCCAAAATGCCGTACCTCCCCACAGCCCAGGAGTGGCTCACTCAATCCGCTCTCCTCCTCCAGGCGCGTCCCACAACCGTACGTCCCTCCTCGCGATGCCTATAGCCGTCTCGCACAACCCCGCTGCTACCTCCCTTATGCAAGCCTCAAATTGACCACTTCACACAGTCCCGCATAACGACAAAATACACCGTCAAACCCTCCACGCGCCGCACAACCGCTGAAACCGCCGCCCCTGCCCCCGTGGCTTTCCTGACACTCAAAACTTACGACCCGGCGTCAGGCACAACCCTCAAATACCGCACCGACAAAGCCGCAGAGGTTGGACGTCTCGTGCTCTCCCTATCCCGGCTTGGACGCGAGATGGCGGGCTTGCCGGAGCTGAAGGAGGAGGATATTAAGATGGAGGGGGCGGGGGATGCGGTTGCTGCAGCTGCGGCGCCAGTGCCTGAGAAGGCTGGGGCGCAGCCGGGTGGAGCGAAGAAGGGGAAGAAGAAGGGGAGGAAGTGAGGGGTGGAGCTGGATGGGGTGGGAGATGGTGGGTGGGAGGCATTATAGGCGTCTTGGGCATACTGTTAAGCGATGTTTGAAAAGTTGGGCTGTGGAAGATGGTAGCCATGGTGGATTATAATATGGCAGGCGTGGGATGGGATTGGAGTTCATCATGGGTCAGATACCTGAAGCTAGATATCTAAAGGCCTAGATCTCTCAACGTGCTTCATGAGATGTGCCCTCAAAGGATACGAAAATCCGATCACTATCCAAACGCTCTATGTGCGACAGGCTGCAGCCGCAAACGAGGGCCATGGCATCGAAGCCTTTAACCAAGAATCCCGCAATTGGTTTAACGAGCTCGAGAAATCCTATCACAATAGGGAAATTGAATATCAGAATGCAACTAGCGATTCAATTAGGTCGAAGCATGCAAGCAATTAGAATCACGGATTTCGAACCACCTCGGCTGTCGGGAATGATGCCCACTCTCAGGATCACTACTGTTACCGCCACTCCTTTGTCGCCGTCGTAATGACTTCCTGTCACCCCACTTCCTTTCTCACCACCGCTGCCAATACCACCATCACCACCACTCCCCTGTCACCGTCATACAATACGCACGAGCACGTAGGTGGAATCTTGGTCCTAACAGTCCGTAGACGCTAGGTAAGCTAAAGACAGCCAGCAACCAGCACCCACCCCATTGGCACCTTCTGCATTGGTAGCCTTTGTCGCCATATGCTGGACGTAACTGTGTTCATCATCTTCTGTTGCATACTCGGTGCTATTGCACGGATGTGATGTCTGTGGCATGTTTGTTGACGAGGGTTTGTAGTAGAAGTGGGAAAGGGTGGACGTGAGAAGATGGAGATGGCCATAGAGATTGAGAGACGGAAATCGAGGGAGAGTAACTAGAATCAATGCTCCCGCTAAATTCGAGAAGGACCCGCTTATATCAGCATGTGTAGTCGCTGATAGTATAGGACCAGGGAAGACTATACAGACCGTTAGCTATTAGGAAGTTGAAAGTTAACACCATGCTCACAATATGACAACATAATAAAGACGTTCATACAGAGACTATATCGACGCAGGATGCTTGTAGAGAAGTCTCCTGCAAAGACTCTCTTACTCATTGCCCTAGGTAAGGTTCTCTCTCAGTGGATTGCTGATATGGAGTAGCTAAGTGAAGATTTCATCCACATCATGTACTATGGTCCGAAAAACTCGAGTATCCTCGTGAATACTAGGATTGAAGTATCAATCAAAGCTAACTGGAATATGTTACAGAGAACATCTGACTGACCCCTTCGACCTCGATACCATTATAGCAAATATATGACTATTCATACCACGGCCAAGCAATTTATATGAGAAGCAACCACGAAAGTAGTTTTGATATAACTTCTTCAACTACTTAATCCTATCTTATTGTTTCATACCACATTTCGTGGCATTGCCGTACCCCTTTCCAATCCTATCCACATGTTACAAACAACTCCCAAAACTCCATATTGAGAAGAGTGATCTCCCGATGATTAACGGCCGAGCCCGCTAGCATTCTATGCCAGGTATATGAAAGAAAAAATGTGTGCAAGACACCCACCACCACAACAGAGCTACCCATGCCAAGTTGTACAACCTTTCAGGTTAATTTAAAGCAAAGCAACGCCGATGGAACCATTCGCATAAATACATAATAAAAGACGAACCAAAGAATGTGGAGCATCTAGAAGTCTTCATCGAAGTTGAAGTCTCCACCATTCTCTGCTTTCGACTCGATCTGTGCAGCGGTATCCTCGTGCTTCTTGGTGGTCGATGCCATGACACCAGTCTTTTGGTAGTCGGCGACACGCTTCTCAAAGAAGTTGGTCTTTCCTGCCAGGGAGATGTTCTCCATGAAGTCGAATGGGTTGGTCGCCTTGTAGTACTTCTCGTTACCGAGGGAGAGTAGCAGCCTGTCGGCGACGAACTCAATGTATTGCTTCATCAAGTTGGCGTTCATGCCGAGCAGCGCACAGGGAAGTGCCTCAGTCAAGAACTCTTGCTCGATGGAGACAGCCTCGGTAATGACGTCTTGGACGGCCTGCTTGCTTGGGCGGTGTCTAAGGTGGGAGAAGAGGAGGCAGGCGAAGTCAGTGTGGAGACCCTCGTCACGGGAGATGAGCTCGTTCGAGAAGGTCAGGCCGGCCATGAGGCCACGCTTCTTGAGCCAGAAAATGGAGGCGAAGGAGCCGGAGAAGAAGATACCCTCAACGGGGCGAAGGCAACGAGGCGCTGAGCGAAGGTGGAATCCTTGTCTTGGATCCACCTAACTGCCCAGTCGGCCTTCTTCTTAATGCAAGGAATGGTCTCGATGGCATTGAAGAGGTATGTGCGTTGAGCTTGTTCCTTGATGTATGTGTCGATGAGGAGGGAGTATGTCTCGGCGTGAATGTTCTCTATCATGATTTGGAAACCGTAGAAGCAGCGGGCTTCTGGGATTTGGACCTCGCTGCTGAAGCGCTCGAGGAGATTCTCGTTGACAATTCCGTCTGACGCGGCGAAGAAAGCGAGAACGTGGGAAATGAAGTAACGCTCATCGTCATTGAGGCGGTTGTTCCAGTCGTGAAGGTCCTTGGAGAGATCAATCTCCTCTGCCGTCCAGAAAGACGCTTCTGCCTTCTTGTACATCTGCCAGATCTATTGTAAATTGTCAGTATAAAATCCACTTTACGCGTTACGCGTCCGTGCTGACGCGCGATGACGCGACGTGGTCACATACCTCGTGGTACTTGATTGGGAACAGGACGAATCTGTTCGGGTTTGACTGAAGCAGTGGCTCGTCGGCTTCCTCTGGTTTAAGTGTAGGTGCGATCAAGCTCAAATCGGGCTCTGCCACGATTGGCTTCTTGGTCTCGACGACGGCATCGACGGGTGCTTGGGTGTCGAATGGGAGGTTCTCCTTTCCAACAGCAGCGAAGTCAAGCTTCTTAGCTGGAGAGTCGTTCATCTTCAAGTTCTCGAGGGAAGACGCTGTCTGTATCATTCATTAGGAGCTATTCCCACGACGACAGCGACGGTGGCAAGAGATTACATACCTTCTTCGACGGCGTGATTTGGGTTGCCATTGTATTGTTGTCTGAGGATAGTGAGATCAATTCAGTTAATGTAGATGTTCTGGTAGTTTTGGCACAGAGTGAGAGAGAGTAAAGAGGAATTGGCTGTGTTGATGGTGACGTGAAGAATAAGGTGGTGGAGGGGAAGAGTGCGTCCTTTGTAGTCCCCGTCTGCACCCTAGTTTGTTTCTTGGAAGCGCGTTCTTCCTCACGTGACGCGACTTTACGCGTTTTGCACTCTAAAGGGAAGAGGCTGGGATTCGCACTGACACTTTTACAACACAGCCTAACAGCAGTAAGACATCAAAACCCCACCTGTACACCTCCAGATCCGTATTTCCGGCCTCTGTTGGATCGAGCTGAAAGAATTTCCTGAAACTGCCCCATGTTGTCGCATTTGTGTGGACAGAGACCCCTCACGCTAGATGATCTGATAAGATTAACCCTGGCAACGCGCAGGCAACGCGCAGGCAGCTGTCCAAGGAAACAGTCACCCATATCCACAGATGGATCTTTTATCCACAGCCATGCACGCGCGTTTGTGCCGGCTTAAGTCATAACACGTCTTAGTAAACTTAGTAAAGCTCAGCAATCAGCTTGGCAATGGAGCTTCGTGACTCATTTACGTACGGGGCTTTTGGATGCCTAGCCAACGAGTTCGTTTATAAACATGGGAGCATATATTTCACCCATTACCGTGTTAAGATTGAAGCGGGGTCAAAGTCAATGCTGACATTTAATGCTGTTCTATTCAATTGTATAATTTTTACCGTGGTATCTAGCTCCGAGTCTTTACAAAAGTTATAAATTAATTAAAGCACCTCATTACAAACACCTACCGAGTTCGAACTGGTTTCTGACGCGTGCTTGGTTCTCTGGCAGGACGGGACGGCAAGTTGGAGAGTGGCGTATCGCCATGCCGTTGTTCGGCGCCGCTCTCGACGTCCGGCTGCTTGCTTTTCTTTCCAAAGCCGAACCACCCGCCGCTACTCTGGGTTGTTGTTGAGGCCGTATTAGTTGTGCCCGAAGGTTTTTGACGCTGAGTTCCCGATGGAGCTGTTTGAGGCATCGGAGGCTGTTGTGATGGTTCGTTTGCAGTATACACTGGAGGTGGACCGCTGGCCACCAGGCGGTCGAATTCGTCCGGATCGCTAGGGTCGACGGTGGGCAACGCGGCGCCCTGGGATTTGAGCCTGGCCTGTCCCTTAGCACGAAGATGTTTCTCCAGTACAGCAGCGTTTTTGGTGTTGGCGCGGGAAAACAGCTGTCGCTTCTATTAGCGATGGAATGGAACAAAGGCTTGCTAAAACTTACCATCTGCCAAATCGCCGAGAACAGGCACAAGACCGATAAAGAAGTCAATGACGATGTTAAACACCATCTGCGACTGAACAGCAGCAGGGAGGCCACCCTCAACCTGCTGGCATGTCCGATATACCATCATTGCCATGAATGCATCCAGCGCA